TATATATATATATATATAGTATGTGTGCGTATTTTCGGATTTGTCAAATGCTCTCGATCAGATGAAATGAATTACATAAAAGTAAATTTTTATCCTCAATTATGGAAATAATAACTATCCTTAATGATTATATTGCAAATAGACCAATACGGGTTATATTTTTGCAGAAACAGTATAAAATTTAGTCAGCGTATCTAACATTTATTATAAATTTCAAAGTAACGAATTGTTTTGATTAGCTTCTCACAAGAATGCAGGTAAGCGTGTGCGAATGTATGTGAGGATAGTATGTTGATGCATATTGAACGATATTTTACATCGTTTAATATATATATACATAATAAAAAAATGAAACAATCTCCTATGATAAAGTAATAGGAATTTAAGACAATTCTTTTTTTTTTATCTCTTCTCTTAAGAAAATTAGCTTTTTGCACATAGGAGATTTTTTCTCGACAGCGATGATACGTGTTAATAATAAGATATACTAATAAGATATCTTAGCATAATATTGTTAAATAAGTTTATTTAAAACTACGGTGTAATGATACGAAAAGCAAACTATCTGTTCTATCACCTTTCTATCACTCTCCAAGAAAGATTACGACTCTCCAATAAAACCGATACGTTTTTATGTTAATAAAAAATGCGATATATGTATCTTTATGAATATGTCAGAACGAAGAATGTGCGTTATTTAACACTCGTACATTGTTGCTCACGAAATAAGTTATTCCAGTTATCTATGATAGGCTTCGAAGGTAGGCGAAATAAACATTGTAAAAAATATGTATAATTTTTTTTACACACGGATTGTACAATTGTAATTTAGTAATCAATTACTACGTGGTATTTAAAATTCTACACTTTCTTACATTATTCCAAAGAGAAAAGCGGTGTAACATTTCCTCGATAATAAACATTATTGTCGTCAATATATTTATTTCAATTATTCAACGCGTTTACATTTATATTTTTTAATCTTTTTTTCTTTTAAAGACTTATCTACAGTAATGAAGTCGGCATTATGTAAGAACTTTACGTCATTTAAAGAAATAGAGATTAAATACATTTATCGAGCTTCTTAATTTGTAATTTCACTTTTCCTCTAGCTATCCATGTCAATTTGTTCAGTCAACAAACGACAACATTTACCGACGTGTATTTGCCTCCTCTATTAGTGTTATTAGAAAAGTCTGCACTCCAAGTAACCCTTGGTCATCAGCCTAATAGACAAGTCCTTTCGTCCCATTTATTCGTCGCATTTAAAGCGTTAGAGCACGCGATAAATTGCGTTTGTATCGATTTAATTAAATTTCAATTTCAATTTTTTTAGAATTATTTTCTGTGTTTTGTCTACTATTAGCTGTAGATAATCCTCAAATCTTTCATGAATATGTTGTACCAATAGTAAGTGAATTATATGCGCAACTAAAAAATTTTATTTTTCAGTTTATAGGCCAGAATTTTTCAAGCTTGTGATGTTTGCCCTCGCAAATCTATTACGATGACTACATGTTGCGCTGATCACATTTACGTTGTGTGTCTCAGGATTTCCGGACTCCTTAAAGGTACCAAAAATATTTGAGAATATTAAAGTTTCCTATAGAAAAATGTTTCCAATTGATAAGACTATCTTAAAATCCAATTAAAAAATTGATTAAAATGAATCAGATTAAATTAAACGCTTTTTTAATTCATAACAATATCAGTATGCGATATCAGTACGATAATTATTGTAACTTATGCAAGCGTTTCCAATAAATTCAACATTTTAATAAACATTCTCTTTATTCTTTTCAACATAATTTTCTACATCATATGTATAAAAATAATCACACATATATCGATATGTATGTAAAAACAATTAGGAAGAAGAAGCTAAGATGAAGAAACAGAAGCAAGTGAAGAAGGAAGTGTTATGAAACCTTAGTAAACTAGAAAAGAAAAAGAATCGATAAGGTATAAGATAAGATTGTATATAATTATATATATATATAATTATTATCTTACCTTATCGATTCTTTTTCTTTTCTAGTTTACTAAGGTCTCTAAACACTTCCTTCTTCACTTGCTTTTGTTTCTTCATATTCTTAGCTTCTTCTTCCTGGACTCGCGCCTGATACGCTGTTATTCTCTTCGTCATCGCCTCCTTCGTCCGCTTCTGCTTATGCGCGTAGTTCGTTCTGATCATCCTCATCAGACGCGCGACGTTCTCTTCGTGCGGCTCGCGCACCACGGCAACTCTGCCCTGCTTGAACTGGGGCTTACGCAGATGCGGCACAGACTGGAGTTTAGGCTTGTCCCTGTACGGGAGCTCCTTCTGCAACTTGCGCGGAATAAACAGCGGTCTGAACACTTTAACGCCCCGCTCGACCGGCGTGTATATCGAGTCCTTCTCCGCTTCCGCACGGATACTCCTCTCTCGCTTCAGCTGTCCGGTAGTCTTCATTCCGCGCCATTGATTCTTCTCTGCGGGCGGCAGCAGTAACGATATCACCGGATTGTAGAAGCGCGGTACGTCCACTTTGTACCACGTTCTGCAAAATACTATGTCGCTCAGCATTATCTTGTCCTCGAACGTGGCGCGGAAGCAGCCGTCCGGCTTGCTGGCCGCCTTCTTGATCTGACCGCGAATACCTGACACCGTCTTGATCCGAGCGCCTTCAAACTTGGCGACCTCGAGCGCGCTATTGAACATATCCTTGATGAACGCGGTCTTGCGATAAATCTTCATTGGCACGCCGGTGAGCTTGAGCTTCTTCACTACCTGCGTGCTCTTGTCCATCTCCACGATGCTGCCGGTCGCCGCGATGCGGAAGCCCTGCTCTCTGCTCGCGACGTCTTGTATCGCTAGGATTCCGGTGCCTTGCGGAGTGATCGGGCCCCAGAAGTGGCCCATACACGCCACGTGCTCCGGCGTATACTTTAACATTCGATGACGCAGATTGTCCTCCAGCTTGGAGTAGATCGCCAGCGACTGGAACCTACGCCAGCCGACGGAAAAGACGAGCGGGTCGCGGCTCTTCAAGATCCTCGAGTACCATCGGTGTTTCTTGATTCGCGTTTGCATGTAGCCGATGTTTTCCTCGCCGTGCAGCAAGCCGCCGATGATGATCGGATACGTCGGGTCCAAGTGCGTTATCAGTTCGCATGGCACCGTTTCGATCTCCACGCGTACGTACATGCCGGGACGGTAGCCCTCCAGCTGGATCCTGACGTCGTCGTCCAGCCCTTCAAACTCTGATTTGTTGATGCTCGCCTGTTTCTCCACCTCGGCCCTCAGCTCGTCGTAATACGTCTTTTTCTCTGTATTGTCATACTCCGCGTCAAAATGCTCCTTTAATCTCTTCTTTTTCTCCAGGAGCTTCTTCCTCTCATCCTCCTTATCCGCCGTCAGTTCCTTAGGAGCCGTGCCCTCCGCTTTGTGCTTCTCACCGGTCTCCAGGTCCTCGAAGTCGCCGTACAACTCCTCATTGTCGAGCTTCAAGAGTTCCTCGGCATCCTCCGTTTCCTTCCATTTGCCGGTCACGAAACGATTAATCAGCAACACCTTGTTCTCCTCCTCCAGCCAGTCGCGCGGACCCTCTGTTGTGAAGAAAACGGATTCCTCTTGATTCTGCAGCTCTCGCTCCTCTATCTTCTGCCTCTGCTGCTCTTGAACCACTCGGAATATTCCGCCGATGTTTTCGCCAGTGTCCTTCTCATTCTCCTTTTTCTCTTCCGTTATCCTGCTTTTATCGAATACGCCGTAAACCAACTTCATCAAGTTTTTATTGCTTTGCTGACGATTGACAAATGCTTCTCTCGCCTTTTCGGCTAAATTTCTCTTCCATTTTAATTCATCAGCGACTTCCTCTTCACTTTCGTCCATCTTGCTGTCTTCGTTTTCGTTTGCTTCTTTCTTTTGGCTCTTGGCCATTTCAATATCATCATCATTATCATCTTCTTCTTCTTCTTCTATTTCGTCATCTCTCTCGAAATCATTAAGTCGATCTGCATCGTCCATCTCTAATCCCGCGCGCGAGTCTTCATCGCTAAGTTCATCAAAACTTTCATCGTCAGTATCTTGCTTTGAGCCTTTCTTTGTTGTTTCCAAAAAGCTCAATGCTTCTGAGATCTTATTTTTTATCATTTTATCTGATTCTTTGCTTAAAGAATGATATACTGCATTCTCTTGAGAAATGTTCTCCATTTTATCGCTTAATCTAGATTTATCGAGATCTGCATCGTCATTTTCAATATTTGAATCAACAGAAGTTTTCCTCTTTTTTTTTTGTACATTATTTTCCTCAATGCTCTTTCTCTTGACGCTTTTAGATTCTTCCAAAGTCTCTTCGTCGCTCAATTCATCTTCATCATCGTCATCACTAACTTCATCATCATCATCATTGACTTCATCATCGTCATCATTGCCTTCACTTTCTGCCTGTTCGTCATCGTCGTCTTTGTCCAAAGCATTTTCAGATTCCGCGTTTATTTCGTCCTTAAATATCACTCTCCGTCGAATTCTTCCGTTTTCCGTTACTAATTCGCCCGTGTAAGGAGCTATACTTTCATTCACGTCCTGTGATTTTATCGGTGCGGCGTCGCTGAACAGTTGCAGCTCGCTGTGCTGCAATTTTTGATCGAGCGTCTTCTGCGTGTCTATCAACGCACCAGCCAATCCCGTATCCTCCTCCTTGTAGGAATGACTACCACCCAGCTCGACGTAAACTGCGTCCTTGTCATAGACTATGCCACCGACACCAGAAAATGGTGCGTAAATCAGTCGTTCCTTTTCAATCAGAGCTCGTTTCTTTATGTGTTCTGGAAGTGGACAGGGATCCGGTAGGTTATTTACATCCTTGATCTTCATGTCTCCACAGCCTGGTATATGAATCGACGTCTCCTTGTTCAAAGGTATTCCTCTCACGTACCTGAAAGCAGATTTATTCACATAATAAAAATATAAAATAAATATGCAATTAATTTAAAGATCAAATAAGAAGTACTAAAAAATTATCTTTCATGCATACCCGTACAAACTGATTGTTCTGTCGACCTTAGGATTCTTTCTGATCAGCTCAGGAGGCGTCAAGTCTTCTATTCTATCAGCAAGTATGTAAGGATGAGTGGTGCGCCAAGTCAAGGGCCTGAATTTCATTACGGATATAAACCGTGCCAGATTCTTTATCTCTGTACGAAGATATTCCTCGTGCAGCAATCCAGACAAATAAAACAATTTTGCACCAGCATACACTTCTGTCCAGAAACGATGCTTCAACGTCTTTTTGATTTTTCTCATTTGCTTTGCATTTTTTATCAAGTCCAGATGAGTGAGGACCCCCATAACTCTTGGCATGCCATGCACCTGACATATATTCAGGAACTCAAAGATCTCCATCTCAAATCCGAAGGAAGCATCCACTAGCAATAGTACCAAGTCCGCCACTTTGGCAATGTCTATCATGCTGTTGATATCGTTGTTGCATTCCATGAAGGTAATTCTTCGTTTCTTACTAGAAACAACAGTGACTGGGCCGAGTATGTTGGTCAACGGTTGCTTGACATAGCTCTTGATCAAACACTGAATAACCAGCGACTTTCCCACTTTCGGTGGACCTACCACAGCCACCAAAATCGGTGGTGGTTCCAAGGGTGTTCTATCAACTAAAGGTATGTGTTGCTTCTTGGTTTCGATATCCTGCCTACGCCTGAACTTTCTCTCCGCTTTAATCGCAGAGTTGAACGTGAACGCTTTCGGATTCTTCTGCTTATCTGTGAGTTCTTGAATATGTACCTTCTTCGCCTTTTTTTTCTCTGCCTTACGGCCTGCATGGCGCTCCTTGTGAGTCCTGTGCTGCACTGTATCTTCCGTCGTGGACATTTTGATGTGTAAACTATTTTCTACTTAACTTGCGTTAATCCGGCATTTACAATTATCTCGTTACACAAGCATGTCGCTACCCACATGTGCATGCTACACGTGCAGCGGCTACTACATTGGTGGTTAGTTGACGAAAACGACACTAGCGCTCAGACAGGAGAGGACGAGAGTGAAAAGATCAATGCGCATGCATGCAATGAAAAAAAAAACGATTAAAAAATCGGAAAAAAACTATATACTATGTACAAAAAAACTGCAATGCACTATCTAAAAATACTTTACATAGTTTTTGAAGAGTGGAAGAAAGAAAAGGAGAGAACTATTTTTTGGGATTCTAATTTGATTCACACGTATGGTATATCCTTCTTCTTTTAATTGATGACTATGGGGGCACCGCTCCTTATCATATGGCCATATGATTCTTATGCAAACTGTACTAGAACTTCTAGTGTTGTGTGTGTGTGTGCGCGCGCGTGTGTGTGTGTGTGTATGACCGCAGTGTGTAAGCTCAGGTTCGTGTGCTTGCTAAGCCCAAACTGTGCGGTTCAGTCATCTTTGCAGGAGTATGGTATATTTTTTTAAATATTAAAGGTTATTTTTCGTGCTGCATAAAATTAACCATTGAATTTAATTTCAACATGGACACTTCTCAGTCTAATTTTTCTTGTGTTTACGCAGAATAGAATCTGGTGGCATATTTAGGAAATTTGTGGCGTGATGCAAGTTGTACACTGTGCAACCAATCAAATTTGCCCTTTAAGAATTAATAAATAATAATTAATATGAATGACTTATCGGTTACATTTTCTGAACACACAACAGATAGAAAACCTGACGAAACCACGAGTTAGGTTAGGTAGACGAAGTCACGAAGTGGTAAGTTTTTTTATTTACTGTATAACATATATTTACATATAGAATTTACATTACACATAAATTAAAATATTGCGATATGCGTAATTAGTGGATAATTATTAGCAAAGTAAATATTTAACTATAAGTATATAGCAAAATTAGTGAGTTTCGTGTCAAAGTTTTCATTTGAGTTTTCATTTTATATAAAGACAGGATGGAGAGATCGCATTTAAAAAGAGACAAGGAAGAGTACAACAGACGCAAGCGAAGAGATCACACATGCAGTAATGACCATAAGAATTATGGAGAACCGGATAAAATGCAAGAAAATCTAGAGGAAGTCAGGCAGAAGTGAAAACTCTTCAAGAACAGGTGTTTATATTCCACCTGCCAAGCAAGAGGAAAGTTTGAATGAAGACACAGGTGCCGAGCAGATCGAAGAAAAAAAGGTACAATATTTAAAAGCATAAAGAAATCTGACTGTTCTACAGTGCACGATATATCGAACGATACATTTCTCACTTGATTTTGTAGCATATAAGCTGATGAAGATGCAGCTGGACATGAAATCTGTTATATGTTTGTGGACTGTTGTACGGAGATGCTTATGTATGAGAGGTACTCTGGACTTTTAGTCAGTTGGTTCTGCGCTACTAATAAGATGTACATATTGTTCAAGGAGATCTTCAAAGATTTGTTCCATACAATACATTATCTCGATATCAACAAGTGAAACATGTCAAAATTTTGTTGTTTACAGACTCTGTATCATGGAGGGTGCTATCGTGCATCAAATTGAATGAGAAGGACAGCATTAGTTGCAGCAGGATATTCATGAAGATTCTGTTTCAAGAACTTGCTGAATACATGACTGAATAAACGAGTTAAGGATGAGCAAGAAGTATTTGAAGGACTCTTTCCCTACAGGTAATACAGGTTCCAAAGGACACGTTTCGCAATTAATTTTTTTTTGCTTCTATTGGTTTAAGTGGTCTGACAGATCACTTGACAGAATTCTTTCATATAAAGTAACTTTTTCTTTCCATTAGGGACAAACAGTAAATACAGTAAATAAAGTAAATATAATACAGAATTCCATCGCGTTATATGGTTAGTTCTAGATAAGTATATAATGCACATATTGATTGCTTTATTTTTTATGGTAATCATGTATGAATATTCAGAATTTATTATAAAAATATAGTTTTTCTAATGATTTTAATATATGTTACAGTATTTCAAGAATTGTGTCCAGCCACATGTAAGAAAACTGATCTCAGAATCCATGTGCAAAAGTTACATACTTCTGATAAGCCTTCAAAATGCAACATTGTAGAAAAACATTCCCATCTAGGTAGGTGAATAAATTGTATCAATAAAGATTATGATGTTTGATTGTAACAAACTGTATCTGTAATACATGTATTATATTGCAGATATAGCTATAAGTTGCATAGCAAAACTCATGAAGAGGAGAAGTGTTACAAGTATGATTTATGTCCATATGCGTTCTTATCGGCCGTCATTTGGAATATCACATGCTCATCTATACCGATCAGAAGTCGTACCAGTGCGAAGTCATTTAGGCAGAAACAGCTACTCAAACATCATTGCAATCTTTATCATAATCCTTTCTGTTTTTCCACCACCATGAGAAAAACGCATCAATGTCCAGAATGTGAAAGAGCATTTAGGTATGTGCATAAAACTAATTATTTGCAGCAACTAATAATAACATAATAAAATTGAATAATATCAGTATAATTTTTCCCAATAAAATATTTTTTATTGTATAGACATAAAGGAAATTTCATTCGACATATGGCTGTTCACGATCCAGAATCGTATCTACAAAAAAAAACAGCAAGTTCTCAACATTGGCAGACAGGAAAAGATTCAAATCATCGATGGTCAACGTGTTGAAATGATGACAGGTACAATATCATTAATGTAATCGATACTGTAAGAAGTTTTAGAGAAATCACGAGAAATATTTGAACCCGTTTGCACTTGCGTTCATTCATCAGTACAAAGTAATTTTTTTATATTACTTCATTCTGTTGATATGTCAGATAGTTTATATGTAATTATATTAGATAATATAATGCATAAGCGTTCACACTCACAAGGACACTTACGATATGATCTAAATGCAGATCATTGACTAATATCCATGTGTTATATTGTGATAACATTTAGTGATTTAGCTCAGTGCTCGGAATTAGTCTGAACATTTCAGCCGATTTCCGTGGTATACGCCTCCTTTCCTCTCCTTACCGCGCGCGCCGCAGCCGCTAGGGCCAGCGCCGCCGAGCGTTAGGAGCGACACTATCTGATTATGAGTGGGGTTCTTTTTCCTATTTATTAAAATTTAAAAAAATGTATTAAAAGTTATTAAAAATAAATTTTTTATTTTTAAATTTATTAAGTGAAAATATTTCAATAGATTTCCACGTCACCCATGAGATACTAATGCTGACGCGTTTTTTTTTTAATGGTTTCCCCCGTAGACCTATTCCACTAAAGATAAAAATAAATTCTTAATTTAAAAAAAAATATATATGTAAAAGAGATTTTCTTAATTAGATTTTCTTAGCCTTTTATGAGAATGAACAATTGATGCAATAATGTAGATAAAAACCACTTTTTGAAAAACGTGTCAGTATTAGTACCTCATGGGTGACGTAGAAATCTATTGAAATATTTCCACTTAATAAATTTAAAAAAAAATTTATTTTTAATAAATTTTAATAAATTTTTTTAAATTTTAATAAATAGGGAGAAGGACCTACTCATAGAACCTAATCAGATAGTGCCGCTCCTAACGCTCGGCGGCGCTGGCCCTAGCGGCTGCGGCGCGCGCGGTAAGGAGAGGAAAGGAGGCGTATACCACGGAAATCGGCTGAAATGTTCAGACTAATTCCGAGCACTGATTTAGCTAATAAACTTAAAGGTTACAATGATGAAAAAGAAGAAGACGACGACGAAGATGATATGATGGCAGTACAAGGCAGTGATGGCCAGCAATACGTGCTAGAAGTGATACAATTAGCTGAGAATCAGGACATAAGGAACTGATCAGGTAAGCATTGCTTACTAAGCAATAAGTACTTGAAAAAATGTGTTAATGTGTTTTTTTTTAAATCAATTATAATTAAATGATTATGTATAATAGATGGCTGAGGTTGCGAACAAAGATGGAGAATTGGTAATGCAAGACCCTGTTGAGTCAAGAAAGTGGTATACTAATAGGAACAGGAGAGAAAGTTGATGATGTGGAAGAGCAAGAAGATATGGAGATGCAAGACTTAAAGATGAATCCATACTGTTACTCCTACTATTAAATTTTCGGCACAAAACACATAAAATGATCCAAAATTACAAAAGAAAATGGAAACCTGTTTTGGATTTGATGAAGTGAGTGTCTCATTATGTCTCCATTGAGCTATTTTTTGAAAAATCTATTTATATTATACAAAAAGAAATAAAATCGAATTTTTTTTAAATAAATGGATAGTAAATAAATCTTATTCATTATTTTTTTTTTTTTTTTTTTTTTTTTTTTAGAAGAGGAAAAAGAAAGTAGTAATATAAACATGTAACAATAATTTTGTAATAATATACATAATTAATAATATACATAAGAAAAGAAACGTACTTAATAGTTTAATGTTTTATTTTCTCAGTGTTAGTGTATATTACAAATACCAAAACACAAAAAAATGATTAAAAAGTCGAGAAAACTATGTATAATTGTGCCATTAGTGCATTAGATACATGTAATAATCTATGACAAAAATATTGTAGATATATTTAAATATTAAATAAGTGTATTGTAAAATATTTACATTATTATTTGTTTTCTCATTCATGTTATCAAAAAAATTATATTTTCTTTTTGTTAATATACATAGATACATACATATCCATGAATATTTATAATTTACATGTGCGTATATATGTATATTTATGAAATATGTATGTGTGTTATATGCATGTAACAAATTTCATGCATAAAACTCATTTTTAGTTATAGCTCAAGAATATTACTTTCTCACATCTATTCTCACTATGTACAATTCTATTCTCTCCTTTCTTTCTCTCAGTCCATGACGCTGCATTTGATATTATCTCTGAATTTACTTAAATTTTTACAGCATAATTAATACGAGAAATATTTTATAAATCAGAATACACGTAAAGTATATGAATGGTGTATTTACATTATATATATTTTGTATGTGTGCGTATTCGAATTTGTCAAATGTTCTCGATTAGATGAAATTAGGTAAAATAACTTTCTATCTTCAATTATATATCATTATATTTCGAAAAGACCGTTAATACGGGCTGTGTTATCGCAGATACAGTATGGAATTTCGACAGTGTATCTAACATACGTTATAAGTCTCAAGGTAACGAACTGTTTTGATTAGCGATTTTCTTAGCGACAAGAATGCGGGTAAGCGCGTGCGAATGTATGGTAGGATAGTATGTTCATGTGTAGCACACTTTCTTATATTATTTCAAAGAGAAAAACCGTTGTAATTTTTCCTAATAAACATTATTGTCATCAATATATGTATTTATTTCAATTGTTCAACGCACTCACGTTTATATTTTTAATCTTTTTTTTTCTTTTAAAGACTTATGAATAAAGACTATTATCTAGACTAATAAAATCGGCATTTTGTAAAAACTTTACGTTATTTAAAGAAATAGAGATTAAATACATTTATCGAGCTTCTTGGTTTGTAATTTCACTTTTTCTCTAACCGTCCATATTACTTTGTTCAGTCAACAAATGGCAACGTTTACCGACGTATATTTGCCTCCTCTATTAGCGTTATTAGAAAAGGCCGCACCCCATGTAGCCCTTGGTCATCAACCCCGTAGACAAGTCCTTTCGTGCCACTTATGGGGATATGTTTAAAGCGTTACAGCACGCGATAAGTTGCGTGTTCTTGCAGCTCGATATGTAGCTTACGTTTTCATGAAACCAGTTGGAAACTAACATAGCTTTCGGGTCCTATTTGTATCGATTTAATCAAATTTCAATTTCAATTTTTTTAGAACTATTTTCTGTGTTTTGTCTACTTCTATTAGCTGTAGATATATCCTCAAATCTTTCATGAATGCGTTGTACCAATAGTAAGTGAATTATATAGCCAATTAAAAAACTTTATTTTTCAATTTATTGGCGAGAATTTCAAGTTTGACTCAAAATTTTTTAATTATACGATTAATATTGAATACGGGAGGATATTATATTCGGTCTGCTAAAAATCTAAGTCTGCTATTAAATGATAGAAATGTTTCTTTATATAGTAAAGAAATTAAGAACTAAATATGCATTGATAGATAGTGCAGACTATTTATATATAACTTTGTATGAATTAAAATATTAAATATCAATTTGATTTGCAACTTTGAATGCAACACGCTATTTTGCGCGATTGAATTTTATTCGTGCAGATGTAATTTAAGAGAAAATAGCACTGAGATTAAGATAACTTGATCAAACGAGTTCCTTTTTTTTTATATGCTACTATTTTTATCAATCATCATAGTTGATTACAAGGATTACAGAGTTATAGATTAAAGAGTATCCTTGCAAACACACGCGCACTGAAACGAGTATCTTTGATTTATAATACTAGAGGTACTACGACGACTCCTTCGGTTTAATCAGCCGATAGCTCACGCCTTCTCGCATTTGTATTCTGCGCACGTCCGTAGGATGTAACAATAATCTCCCTTTCGAAGGAATGTCGGATGAAAGCGGATGTAACAATACGTGCATAATATCGGGCGCGCAATAGCGATTACGTACAAACACGTCGGACGAGTTCCAGTCACGAGATGCTTTGATTGCCTGCTTCATAAATTCAAAATACTCTGATACAAACGTGCAAATTTCGAAAATATGAAAATTATGCTAATACGATCTCTAAATAATAAGTATAAAATTTATTTTATAAAAGAAAAGTGAACTTTTCTTAAAGTCAATGCTAGATATTCGTACGCATTTGTTTAGATAATATTCAGAAGTATTGAGACATTGACACAAATAATCACCAATGTTTCGATTACCGATGTGACCCTCTTCAATTTTCTGCAATTTAAACTCTATTAAAAATTAGAAAATTTTATACGAATACTATTATTAAAGTCCACTTTGTTCTTATTTGATTTGTATTCTTTTCGGCCAGAATTACATTATATTGTAAAAAATTCATTAGCAAGGATATTAATTGATGTATATATTTCTATTGAGAGTGCGCTTTCGTATAAATTAACAGGATAACGAAAGAATCATTGTTCTCGGGTAATTCTCTGTAGGAAACGCACGTTTCCAACAGCTGACGCGATCCCGCTTGTTGGGTTTGCGTAACGCGTGTTACGCAACAATTACGGCAGTAACGTTATAGACGGATTGCAGTTTATTGCAGTTTTTGTCTCGCGGAAAATATCAATCATCATCTCTGCGTAACTGCTTATTATCACTTTTTTGTTCGTTTTCTGCTATCTATTATCAGCCTAATTGATTAGTAGAGCGACAGTCTATTCTTGATATGATAGAATTAATATTAAAGATCAATTACACCCATCACATCTTTGAACTTGAATCAACTTGAATCAGTTTAAATTGTTGTTAAATATTAGTTAAAGTTTACTGAACTTTAGTATATTTTTTTTTGGAAATTAGAAAAAGAAAATCAAGCCTTTGATAATGTGATGTTATGCGATATTTTATTTATATTATTATAAATTACTGATGAAAAATTTAAATCTATATTATTGAATAATAGAGAATGTTTTAAGTGTATCATTATGAATTAATAACAATTATTTATAACAATAAAACGATGATTAGTTGGATGGATTTACAAAGTCGACGGCGATATGTATTTGTCTATCGTCACGCATCGTGGATGAAGTCATTCGCGCGACCGGTTGTCGCAATAAACTAACGACATCCTGCAATTAAAATACTTGCTCCAGTAATACTTATGCCAGGAGATCGAGCACGATGAATGATCGTTAATCGTCGATGATGAAATGCTATTGAATTTCTCACCTAATATCCACGTAACATTTCTGGTTAAATTGAGTAAATCCCATTATGCAGCTTAGATTGCTGTGCATTCTACATTGTTTGTGTTGCTTCAAGAGATGCGATATAATAAGAATTCTTATTATTTCAGTTTCTAGACTAGTTTACGCAATTCCGTGTTTAGCGTAATTAGTGTTGTCTGTAACACAACAATTAAATTATATTATTTAAAGTAGTCTTTTATAGATCTAGCAAACGCAATACAGCAGCAACAAGTCCATTGCTTCAAGTGTTTATAAAAAAATATATAAAATAATTATTATCAATAATTGATATCTTATTTTCAAAACAAACTGTGAAATCTGCGTGCAGTCAGCCGGCAACAACGGGAGCCTAATTTCGCAATTTTCTCATTGCGAGGTCTAAACGCGTGTTTTCCCGTGTTCTTTTCTGCAATTAGATAAATCGCAGAAATGTGACGGCTAGCGGATTTCTCTTAGGAAAAACGGGCTTCTGCTCTAGGACCTTTGGAATTATGTATAACAGTATACGTCTGCTGTCTAATTGAGTGAGAACCTCGATTGTTTCTCGCATCATTCCATTCTGTGTTATGAGAATCTACAGGGAATAGGAAAGAATTCAACAACTCTTTAGGAATAATTTTTTATTTCAAAAATTAGAAATTTATTTCCTACTGTCTCATTGTCTTTTGATTCACATTCTTTTGCACTTTTTCTCTTCTAACGAAAATTATGTAATATTTTTGTAACATCAAAAGGTTTCTTTTTCTAATTTTGCATTATATGCATACATACGCTGCCTGTTATTGCAATTATGAAGTGCATATCTGCATATCACTTAAACTATATATCTGACAAACCGGACTGATAGCAACTATTTCGCGTTGCTATACTGAATACCGAAAGGATTAATTTTACTTTTGTAATTAACAATGTCTGATAATTGATAATATATGTCAAATTAATTACCAGAAATAAATGATTCTGGCCTTATCAGACTTTTGCTTTTCAACTTGTTCGTTGCATTTTTCCGCGAAAAATTGACAATCTCAAGTGATTCCAATATAGCCGAAGTCGATTGATGTTATCGCCACGTATCTCACACAGATCAATATTTTACTACTGATCCTAATTGTAAGTGCAGTGGTATTAATATTCATAGCTTCCACATTTTTGCGCGCGCCGCGCGCGTTTTTTTCGCATCAACAAAAATCGATCTCGGTTTTTTATCTATGCACATGCTCTTATCATGACATTGCACATGCTCTTATCATGACACACATATATACGTATGTTTCTAGATAAAATTCGAATATTTATATTTATATATTTAAATTGTTCGAACAGTTTAAAACAAAAAAGTATTAGACCTAAAAACTATTGTTAGAAAACTTGTTAATAAAACCTAAAATTCCTCTCTTCTTGGCTGAAGTGAAATAAACTATCTATCTAATAAAATCAATATTAATAGGTCTAAAAGAATTGAGATAAGTCATATACGATGTTTTGATCTAACTAGATTATCCGTAAACATGAAGATGAAAAATCAGTGGAAAAATGCAGGACTTGCTACAGAGATCGTGTTTCTTCTCTTTGATATTATTTATCGATATTAAAATTGGTTGAACGACATTTTATATATTTTCTTTGTTTTCTAATATTATTATGTAATTTTATATATAGACAAATGTCAAGTATAATAATCTCTGATACGGATACATAGTCGGGATGGTGTTGTAACTTGTTCAATGTTAAGATAAAAGATTCGTTCTTCCCTGCACTTGACATTTGAAACCGACCCGGTTTCACTATATGTGTCTGTCTCGGCGTACGATCAATCTTATAGTATAACATGTATCTCGCGGCAAGGCACTCTGTCGATCATGTACGATGAAACATTACCATTTAATATTCTCCGTGCGACTGGGAGCGCACGCGAAGTGCGGTCTTCGTCACGCGAATCGGCGCTCGTAAAAGGATTTCGAAAGGCCTGTGCACGCAGACACACTTCGGCCCCGCTTGCTTGTATCTGCCTGGTCGTGTCTCATTTATCCATTCTCGCTATCCGGGAATGATAGTCGTGTGCGTAATTTACGTACGGACGACGTGTGCACGCGCAATTTGCGCGCGGCCTGCGTGCGTATGCGTATGTGTACGGACACGTAGATTCTCGCAGCGTCGAATCCGGTTAGATCATCGCCGGCCGGCCGTGTTCACGGCCTGTCTAGGTGGTCCTCGTGAAAAGGAAACTGCATAATATATGTACGCGCGGTTTATTGCGGCACACAACACGCGCACGCATTCGTGAGCGTGAACCGAGACCGCGATTATACGCGCGCGCGGCACGAGTTCACGCGAGTTTATTCCGCGCGCGACTTGCGTCCCCGCATTCTCCATCAAGTATAGCGTAGATTATAACAGAGGTAGCCAGATCCTCTAGCTGTGGCAACAAGACATTATGAATATAACGTCTTAATGATGATAATAACAGTAAGAAAGAGAGA